CGTGGTGTTTATTTACTTGTCGGAGAAAGGTTGCACCGAGTGTCTGAGCGCGTCGTCTGGGCGCCGCTCAGGCCTCGCACAGATGCCGGGTTGCAGAGTAAGACCTGGCGTCTGCTGCTTGACCGAGATTCCATCGAGGAGCTATCCAAAGGGCGTTCAGCCCGTTACATTTATAGAAAGTTGTAAATCAATCAAATCTGAAAATAAGTATTATAACTATATTCAAATATCAAAATTGACTATTATAATAGAGATACTCATATATTGACTAATACTATATTAAAATTATAGAATAAAAATTAATGTCAAATTTAGAAGATAGCAATCTTAAAATGAGAAATTAGTAGAAAGCTTTGAAACTCTCTTATTCTTCTTCTAAGTATGTACTTGGGCTATTTTTATTATACAAAAATATATGTAAAAGTTATAAGTCTTATAAGTGGATTATCGCTTAATCGAATTTCTTCTTATGTAAAACTTAGTAAGCAAGATAGTTTTATTTCTACTTTAAGAGATTTTGTCAATTTTGAATATTTTATAGAATTCATTTACTATGATAACATATTCTAAAAGAAAAGAAATAAATTATAAAAAACAAAGGAAGATACTGTTATAAGATTTAGTTATTCATTCTTCATATCTTAGTAGATATATCTCCTTCTAGATGCTTACTAAGTAGAGAGTAGGTCTACTACGCTTAACTACTGGATCTTAGCTTCCTAGATTACTACTTTACTTCTTTCTAGCTATTTTACTAGCTAAGATATATAATATTAAAAGTTATCATTTTTTCTATTATGTTTTTTAACTATTACCTCTTTGTACTTTATAATCTATTGAATGAATAGTTAACATTACCTGTAAAGTACATAAAACCTAAGAAAAAACATTAATTCTCTACTCTATAGGGTATTGTAATTGATACTAAAGGAGAAAAAGGTATACTTTAATTTGGTACTTATACTGCATAGCTTATAGTTATAAGCCTGTTTCCCTTTCTATATTTATTCATATATTTAGTTATAGCTAACTATATACTCTGTAAATAGTAGGTATCTTGTATAGAACTACTTATCCCCTACTTTGTAAATCGTTATATTTCTTGTCCCCAGCTATCTTATAAGACTTATTATTCAAAGATTAAGATATCTCTTCTATTAATAATCTTTTTCTACTATTACTTCTTTATAGTTTTCTTACATTTTGTAAGAGGCTACGCCTACGTATGTACAGCTCAGCTTCTAAGCGAGTATATCTATACGACTACCTAGACTTCAAGAAGCTTAAAGTCTTGTTACTGCCTTTTTGGCTATGGATGGCGTAAGTAGTCGTACGCTCGGCCCGTTGGGCCCGCCCATTACACATTTCTTTAAGTTACTTTATCAACATTAACACTTATTACTTTTAATATGTGTTAAAGAAGCTTTTATCATTTTAAACCTTTATTGAGATCTTAGCACTTTCTCTTTAGTTAAAATATAAGGCGAAGTGAGTTTTTATAGGATTTAAGTCTAAAAGCTAGATACAACATAAATATAAAGAGGTTATAGTAAAAAAACATAACAGAAAAAGCGCTAATTCTTAATCTAATCTATACCAGCCAATAAAATAGCTAAGACTAAGTAAGATAGTTGTTTAGAAGGCTACGATCTAATAGTTTAGCGTAGTAGGATTATATCTTATTTAGTAAGTAACTAGATATAAACATATATATGAGAATATAAAGAAAGGATATTTAAGAAATATATAATTTATAATCTAATAGGTTTAAGTTTATATAAAGACCTAGTCAATGTATATATGATAGATTATATGGAGATTTCATAGTTAAAAGACATCTAGCTATAGTTACTACTTAATAATAAAAGTTCCTGATAAGATGAAAGAAAGATAAAAGTATTATATCTTAGCTATATAGATTTCAAGGCTATAAACAGCTTTTATATATAGTATAAAATAACAAATTCTATTTTGAGATTTATATCCAATTTTATTACAGGTTTATAAAAACAATAACGGTTGGAAATAAGTATTTGTTATATATATTGATGTTAGAATATAACATTAGAAAATACTTACTGATAATTCTAAAAATGGTATATTATAATAAAAAATATTAATACTTAATGATATATTATATTATGGCATTATGAGAATTATATGTAATTTAACAGTTTTGGAATATTCTTAATTTATTTTCAAATGAGAATTCTGTTTATTGCTATTTAGAAACCATATTTATCAAAAGTAGAAATTTACATGATCCATTATAGCTTAATTCAATTTAATATAGTATGCAAGCTAAATAGTAACACAATTCTATGCTTACTTGATAATATTTCCTAGATTTAAAATATATTATAGCTTTTATAGACTGTTATAATATATTTGAAAATATAAAAAAAGGATATTTACTAAAAATAAAAAGTATGATAAAAAGATAAGTTTTAGTTCTTTTTTTACTACGCTTTAGTGTATATATCTTGATCTAGTTACTTACTAAGTAAGAAGTTTGTAATGGGCGGGCCCAACGGGCCGAGCGTACGACTACTTACGCCATCCATAGCCAAAAAGGCAGTAACAAGACTTCAAGCTTCTTGAAGTCCAGGTAGTCGTATAGATATACTCGATCACACACACTTTAGGCGTAGCCTCTCACAAAGTTAGCCGATTACGCTAAACTCTTAGATCTCTACTTTCTAAAATACTACATTACTTATTTTCAGCTATTACATTAGCTAAGATTACTTAGATTCAAAATTAGTATTTCTTCTATTATGTTCTTTTACTATTACCACTTTGTAGTGAAATAGTAATAATCTAGTAGTACTATATAGACGCTTGACATTTATTTCGGTTTTTTTGAAAAAGAAACACATCCAAACTCACACATTAGGTCTAAGTTTAGAGAAAAAACACTAGAAAATACCACCTACACTATCCTACATTTGGTGAAAGTTATAAGGTAAACAGTGTTAGTAACGTTATGAAGAAAGGAAGGATAACAGTTGTTTATTAGTAAGAGTAGGGCTTTAGCTTGGTGGGTAAAATAGTTCGCTTGGTACAGTAGATGTCAATTTCTCTTTAGCAATAACTGCTATGCTGCACCCTAGGAACGAAACAGTTGCCGCCAAAGCTCCCGTCCATTTATGCCTTCTGTGTCGCAGGCTTAGCTACTATGATAGAATCATACTCGTGAGAGTATTGGAAAATTTCCTCTATTTCCCAGCCGGCTCCTTCCAATAAAGCTTGCCATTGCGCTCTCGTCCTTTCATGAGATGCCACCTGTGCCATCATAGCCAGGTCCAACATGGTGACATGTCGATGGCTACCTTGATTCAAGAGAACTTTGTCGTCGATCAATAACAATGAGCTGTCTTTCATTGCAGGCTTCAAGCCATCCAGTATCAGCCGGCAACGATAGTCAGGATTATCATGGAAGATGTTTCGGTAGTAGTAGAACTTGGCTCCTTTGACCTTTTGCTCGGCCAGATAATCCTGCGCAAGTGCCTCTACTCCTTCCAGAGCCGGGACTACGTTGATAGTCTCCTGCAGATCTTCAAGAATGATTCGTCCAGATAAGTGTGGAAATTTTGCTTTCAATCCGCAACACTGAATGCCGAGGTTGCCTCCTACATCGACAAAGAGCACCTTTTCAGGATCAGCACGCGATTCAAAATCGCCAAGATGTGATTCAAGAGGAAATGAGTTAAGCCAGTCTTCTCGAAATTGCACGTCCAGAGCAAGGCGAAGATACTCGAAGATTTTCGGCTGGCTTCGCACCCACGTGAAGAATGGCTCCCGAGAATCCCAGGCTTTGTTGAAAGCCGTTTCAGTGGCCGATGTGACGTCTTGGAACCCGCGTTCCACCAGTAGATCTGGCAAAGCGGAGTTTGTTGGTCGCTGACAAGCAGAGCTGGAGGGATATGAATGTAAGCATTTCTGTTGAGAGTTGCCTAGAAGACGCAGGACTTACGACAGGCGAACCCCCCCTTCAATACCAGGCTGAGAAAGCGTGCGGGTTATGTGGTTGGCTTCAAATGTGTCTTGTCCCACCTCTTCGATCGTGTTGATCGAGGCCAGATAACGCAAGACGCGCCCTGCACACATATTAGTAGTGTCAAAAAGCCATGACAACTCACGTGCGTACCAAGCAATCTTTCCGATGCACCATTGACAGTAGCAATATCTTGCAGCTTCATAGGCTTGTCTGCAGTTGCCAGGGTGGTGAAAACTTGCATGTCGCATCCGATACGTATTGCAACGTGTTGAAAGTCATATACCGGCGTCAGTGATGCGGTTCAATTCATTGGCGAATGTCCTACCAAATCATAGTAGCGCATCAACGTCTCCCACGGTGATTCTAAAGACTGCTGCGTTTTGATCAGGAAATCCTGGATCTTTTGAGACCCTCTGCTGTCAGTACGCGCTGCCAGACCTGCAACCTGTATCGAGAGCCGCAGCAACTGTCTGTCAAGGTCTGTCTCTTGGACTACCATTGTTTCTTTGCTGCTTGGGTGACTGGAGACGTGGTTGGTTGTTTTGAAGAGAGAAATGATATAGGGCCTGTAGCTGAGGAGGACGCACGAACACGTGGAATGTTGCCTGATGATTACAGCGGATAGCAAGCGACTATGTACCTGCCGTCGACACACTCTGCGATCACAAGTGATCCGGCTCGGGCAAGTAGTTTCCTTGCACTGAACGATGTACAAGCCGGACTCGCCGGCGCACTTCCTGGTAAGCTTCGCCAGGCTCCGAATCAGTGGCGTCCACAAAGGTAAGGCGGAAGATATCCGACTGATCCCAAGCATCCGCTATGAGAAAGGTGACGTGGCTTTCCTCCACACTATTATGCTTGCCCTGTCGCCGATTCCCTGTCTATGTGTTTGTTAGTAATCATGGAAAAAATCCAGTAATTTTATCGTAGTGCTGATGGTCTAGAGTTTGGATATAAAATTACTAAATCGCAGTTCTGCTGATAATTAGGGTAGATACCGCCTTAGTGGCAGGTGGAATAACATGTGCCGGATCTTAGTCTGCAGATGAAACCATAATCTTCTGCAGTGCTCAGAATTATCGGTACGAAGATTTCAGCGCTAGAAAGCATTGAATACTCTGAACATCCAATTGGCCGAACGTGGTAGCAGCATTGAGGGTATGGTGCCTTTGCCCAACCTCATTTTCTGACAGGCCATAGAGTTCCTGTCTCCCATCTAATGACCTACCTATTTGCTGCGCGGTTGTATCAGTGATACGGGCAAATCAACTTCTATAGAATTCGGAAGAAACGTCGCAATGCTCGAAGGCACGCTTGACGACTGCTGGACAACCATATCGACGGTGAAGCTGCACTGGACTGTGCTTGGACTACTACCAGTGCTTTTCATACCCATCTTGGGACCCAGGGTGCGACAGATATGGGTGAACTACCTCTACCTCACGAAGATACCTTCCCCGCATAAGAAAGATTACTTCTGGTTCGTCACGGAGACAAGAAGAGCTGAGTTTCTCAATAAGTGCGCCCAATTATTGCACAAAGGCTTCGCCAGCGGAGACGTAATTCGACTCCATGCAAGTTGGGATCACATTGTCGTACTTTCCCCTTCTTATGCGGAGCGTCTTCGCGCAGATGAAAAGTTCTCTCCAGACACCTTCTCTGACAAAGAAATGTTTGGCGCAGTTCCTGGCTTTGAACCGTACAGATTCCTTTGCACGCACCGTGATCTGGTCCAGAATGTAATAAGTATGCGCCTCAATCGATGCTTCGGTGCGTATTTGTCGAACCTTTCTTCTGTTGATAGCGTCGCTGATTTCTCTTGCAGTTCCCGCTACAAGATACCTGTCTGAGGCCATTGATGATGCTCTGAGAAAACAACTTGGGAACGAACCAGGTATGTGATCTCGTCCGCTTTCTCAAGGCAACAAGATACAGATGATTTGATCACAATACTGATACCTAGTCCCTTAGAGTGGCACGAAGTGCCTCTTGGGAAAGCTATGCTTAGAGTTCTGACCCAGTCAACTTTCCGTGCGCTCCAAGGACCAGAGCTTTGCTACGACAATGAATGGCTTGACATCGCGACGCAATATATCGTGACCAGTGTCACTGGTGTCACCGCGCTTCGCAAGCTACCTAAACTTCTCGTCCCTGTGATCCATTGGTTTCATCCCAATGCCATCAAGTCCCGACGGTTGTTAAACTGTGCCAGAGCGAAACTCTTGCCTGTCTATGAGAAACGCAAGAAGGAGTTTTCTGAAACCAGCAAAAACGGCACTTATCGTCCTGAAGACGCAGATGCCTTCGGATGGTACGAAGAGCTAGCAGACGGGCGAGACTACGATCCCGTGGTAGCGCAGCTTACAGTTTCCGTTGCTGCGACGCACTCAACAACCGACTTCATGTGTCAATTCCTCTCGGATATGGTCAGATATCCTGAGTACATCCAGCCATTACGAGATGAGCTCGTACTTGCGTTGAAGGAGAAAGGCTGGAAAGCCTCCACAATCTTGCAGCTGCCCCTACTTGACAGTGTTATGAAGGAATCACAACGCGTAAAACCAGTTGCTATGGGTCAGTCTGATGTGAAATTTGCGTTAGGGGGTACTGCTAACAGGGGAAGCTTTCATGAGAAGTATCGCCCAGCATGATGTCGACTTGCAAGGTGCTGTGAAGATTCCCAAGGATGCATCTGTCATCGTTTCTGCTCATTCCATGCGGGATGCTACGGTGTATGAGAAACCAGACACGTTTGACGGTCATCGCTTCATCAATCCGACCAAGCATCCCGAATCCCGACATTTCACCAGTGTCAGCGTCAATCACATGGGCTTTGGATTTGGCAAGCACGCGTGTCCGGGGCGGTTTTTCGTGAATCTCGAAACCAAGATCCTCATCGCGCACTTGTTACTCAAGTATGACTGGAAATTTGCCTCTGATGGCTGTCCTGCAATCCGAACCAGTGGTTTCGATCAAGTTGTCGATCCTTCGGCGAAGATGCTGATGCGGCGACGCAAGGAGGAAATCCGAATTGAGGCACTGTATGAGTAGGGATTACAGCCAGTGTAGCGTCATTTTGGATCGTTGGTGTGGCTGTCTTTAAGGTAGTCCGAATCGAACAGTGTAACTACGTATATGTGATTCAAAGTATCTTTAGACCTGCGTAACAAGTTCGAGAAGGGTCTTCATAGCTTCCGTGTAGCCTCAAGCAATCGTTGCATTGCTCTCTATCAAACCTCGCGTGCAAGAAACTAGTGGCTCGCGCTGAATACTCGGACCTTCGTTGCAACCATTGATCGCCATTGAGATAAGGCAAGAAGCCGAGGCAAGTGTCACAGCCACGCCAAGCTCAGGACACGCGTCTGTGGCGATGCTGCTATCCCACTGTTCGCAAACAGCGATCGTTGCTTAACCTACAAATGTATGAAATCAACAGGCAGGAAAAACCCCTGGAGTCCGAGCTTGGAACGTAGACGGCGTGACATGCCAAATGGTAGCAAGCGTAAGTAATTTTGGGATGGCAAGTAAGCAGCACATGAGGCAACGGGAGAGGACGATGTACAACCTCCGACGAGGATGTGCCGGCCATTGACTCATCTCTTGCACAGCTTCGAATTAAAATCACCCGGCGTGTGAGCATAGAGTTCTCGGCGGGTAACAATCTTACTCAATCCCTGCGACCAATTGGACCAAGCACATGAGCTAGGCAACATGCGCTCAGATTAAAGCCCGAAGTAGCAGACTATCCGCTTGCTCCTGCGACCGTGATAGATTATATTACCTCCTCAACATTGCTTGGCAACGACTGAAGAACCAGTGCAGCGTTAGCGGGAGTCATCGGGTGGCAGTAGCAAATATATCACTGCCAGTCGACAGCAGCTGGTCTGGTACCACATCGGTCCAGGAACATCCCTTCGTCGATTTCAATTTTTCCTTAGATTCCCAATGATCATGCTCCAGATGGAGACCACACCAAAACCATGCCCTTCGAGCACTGGCATTGCAACATACCCACTATCTGATTTGGACCTGCTCATGAGGAATTTCATGACGCCCGCTTGTCTGATTTATCCCTTGGAAGGCCAAGACGCGGCCACTCGAAGTGCGGTAGTGGAGACGCTTCAACTTGGACTTCAGAAGACCTCCATGCAGCTCCCTGTATTGACTGGACGAGTCGTGCATCCAGTAGGCCAACGTCCCTTTGTTCAGGTTGACAAGGCAAACGACGGCATTCCTCTACTGGTCCGTGGGGCTGCAAACATCTCACGGGAGCTTCCATCCTACGATGAATTAAATGCAGTGCATTTCGCCTCTTACTGCTTGCCCTATGATCTTGTTATTCCGACGGAATTGTTCAGCTCGGCTGACTTCTCAACTGAGTCAGCCGAACATGACCACAATCTGCCAGTGTGTGGTTTCAAAGTCACCTTCATTGAGGGAGGCGTAGTGATAGGTGCCGCCATCAATCATTTCGTCACGGGCGCCTTGGGATTGGACCTGGTGTTTGGCTCCTGGGCGGCTAGTTGTCGTGGATTTCTCACAGAAATTGTATTCGATCCAGCACTGGTGACCAGTGGGCCTTCTGAGCCCATACCAGACATTCAGGCCTTGGAGGAGAACCTTATTCGAAGAGGAGCCGCTATCAAAACAACGTTTCAGGATTCAACGAACTCACTGCCACAGTCCTCAAAGCACACAACTGCTTTGATTGGGATCTGCCACCCGGAACTCTTGTCGCTTCAAGTTGCGGCCAAGGGCAAATACCCGCATCTGGATATATCTACCGGAGATTGCTTTCGCGCAATCATGTGGCAAGAAATAACGCGTGCAAAACGCAGACTTCCACGGTATCTAGATGCAAATGAATCGAAATTCATGCAGGCAATTACCTATTGCTGCAGCGAACGTCGCAGGACCAAGATACCTTCAAATTATCTGGGAAACGTAGCAATCTTTGCAAGAGTGAAACCTTGGGCTGCTGTAGAGCTTACAGACGAGGCCTGACTCATAGACGTGGTTGCTGCTATCCGCTCCAACATCCATCAGGCGGATGAGATGTTGCTTAGGGATGTGCTGCGCTGGACCGCCACTCTCGATGACATAACCGAAAGGTCCTGGGGCAGGATGCCATTCGGCAAACTGGACTTTGGTGGGACGAGCTGGGCACGAGTGAGAGCTTACAAGACTGCTGACTTTGGATTTGGTCCTCCGGCAGCTTTTCGCATACCCGAAGTGAACATAGAGTGGTGCGTTGCCTTACCAAGGAGGAAATATGACAATGGCACAGAGGTTGCAGAGGCGTGCGTGGGGCTACCAGATGATGTACACGAAGAACTGTTCCGCGATGAAAGGTTCCGCAAGCACGCGACGGTTTATCAGCTTCCCCGGCAGAAGTAGATACGAACAAGAGATTCTATAGAGCAATCTACCAGAATACCAAAACTCTGCAGTCCACACTTTGACGTGGTTCGTCTGGATCTCGAGCTTCTTGTAACACACACGATGTGTGTGGACTCCAGGCAGCTACATGATCCGAACTCGTGTCTGCATTCTTGATAACGAGTACGTCATCTGGAGTTTAGTTCGGCAGCCAGAACCATTTCTGCATGTTTGTCTTATCATTTGCTGGCCGCCGCAAATTTGCTGAGTAGGCTGTAAATTCGCCCACCAGTTCGCTAGGAAAGCGGATTGGGACTGGAATCAGCCCATCGGGATCTACAGTACGATAATCGCACACCGTCATGGGGTCTCGCTCGACTGTACCTAGTGGCCGCTTCAAGTAGGTTTAGCCAAGCAATGGGGTAAACGATGGATGGTGTCCGTCTCACACTTACCCAAACACTGTAGACGGCATATCGTGGAGCTGGGCGACCAGCGTCTTCGGCTCTTAGAATATCCTGAGCCCACTCGGCAATGTCTTTGCGAGCGAACCGCACCGTGTTTCTCATGCCTCGGAGAGTCAGGTCTGTGTGTGCTTTCGCTACAGGGCCCATATCCGCTTTTCCCTGGGAGCCGGCCACTGGTTTTGCGAGCCACGGTCAGCCCGAGCAACTGGCGTGAAACCTCCAAATTACCTAAGATTCTGTCGTGTCGCCTCGACTCCTGATCCTTTCCAACGTTGCTGTCGCGGTCGACCCAGTCCCTAGGATCGGACCGCGTGCTCACACGGCGGACAACGGTGTTGATAACAAACGCTTTCCTAGCGCCAAGCCATTCGCACATTAGCGCCTCAAGTTCAGGATGATACTGATTGAGTTGAGCGTCATCCCAGCTGTTTCCCAGCGCCTGAATCTTCGAGTGATGCTTCAGGTATGTGAAGCCTTGTACGTCCAAGCCGTCCACTCCTTTGGTCAATTCTGAGGAAGTGCTGAAATCATGGAGCAATATCTCCGCTGGGAAATGTTCCTCAGGGGGCACAGTGAGAATCGCCCTCCGCTCCGGTGTGCAAGAGAGGTCCGGAACTCCAAAATAGATGGTGGCTGGTGTAGGACCCATCGTGGGTGGTCGGCAGCGTTTGCAATCAAGAGCAGACAATTGAGTGCAAAGAGGTGTGTGAAGAACACGAGCTGGGTGAGCACATCAAGCTGCTCAGAGCCTTATACCATCAATTTGATCATGCTAAGTTCCCGTATGCTTCGTCTCGCAATTTCTAGGGGCTAGTATCTCTACTAAGGTAAGCTAGTGCCCCACCGTCAACCAGCATGTCAGTGCCAGTGACGAAGCTTGACTCGGAGCCCAGGAGGAATGCAGCTACATGCGCGACTTCACCACCACCCCCAACTCTCTTGCACGGCACGTTCTGCGCCAAGTCGTGCACAACCTCTTTCTTGCTGGCCTCCGATTCCAGAGTGAGCATCGGAGTCTGTATGGCGCCGGGGCTGATAGAGTTTATGCGCGCACCACGCCGGGCCCACGATAAGCTGGCATCTTGTACTTGCACATAATTGACCCGCTTAGACATGCCGTATGCCGACCAGTGGTCCAGCACAGTCTCCCGTAACAGTGGTGAGCCGAGAACATCGCTGGGACTGGTGCGTGCCAGATGCTGAATCACTTCGCGGGGGACATCTTGTGCCAAGGTATAGCCAGCCAGGGACGAGATTACCACGCATGTTCCCCCATGGCCTATTAGCTTGCCAAACTCTGCAATACAGAAGCCAGTGCCAGCCAAATTGACCGCAAGGATCGTCTCTCGTGTCGACGAGACCGGCGAAAGGCCCGCCGAGATTGCGACATGCATGACCTGCCCCAGGCTCTGCGCTGTTTTCGCGAATTGAATGACTGAATCGTGCGATGATATGTCCACATGCTGAGAAGTGACTCTGAAGCCGTCCTGCTTCATTCGTTGCGTGGCTTCTTGTAGGAGCGCGTTACTCCAGTCTCCCAGCAAGACTTCTTTCCCAGGGCCAACTCGACGTGCAATGGCCTCGCCGATCCCGCCGGCACCAATAATCACCAGTATGGATTGCGACATTTGGGCTGAACTAAGACAGGACGAGAGATTCGTTGGTGAGCAAGGTATGAGCGTCTCGTAAATGCGTTGTTCTCTGCGAAGAGGATAGTGCATCCACCAGATGCGTGGAGATACAAATACCCCGTATCTACCGCGTTGTGAAGGCTGCTGCGTCAGCACGCCGAAATCACCCATAAATCAGAAATAAAAATAAATCCCCCGTACGGATGACAGAAGGTACACGGCCTCAGATGCCAGAACCGTCCCATCCTAGGAGGTGGAGTTGGCATGCTATACTTACACTAAGCTAGGGTCATGTCTCAAGGCCGGAAGGGAGTCATCAACCCACTAACGAAACAGAATGCGAAAGCCAGGCCAGATCAGCGTTAAAATTATGGTCGCTTCTGTGGTAATCATCAAACGCAGCGAAACATGGCCGACACTGCCACCATTACTCCGAGCCATGCATGGAATTATCTGCAGGAAAGAGAAATATTCCTGCACCTGCAATCCCACTCCTACGCCGCACCACTTTCGCACACAGAGAATCCTTTTAAATCGACTTCGATAATACCTTTCACCACAACAACCTTGAAGGGATTAATTTCCAGCTGCATCATGGACACTTCTGAAACACCCTACATACGAGACAGTCTTTTGAATGTTTGGTTGACGACCCTGCTAGTGTCTATTCTAGCAACAGCGGCCTATGTCAAGTTCCAGTCGACACCAAGACCGTACTCCAGCTTTCCTGTTGTCACGCTCGACGGCCCTTCCGAGATCAACGCCACTCATGCCGCAAATTGGTTCAGGCGTGGTCGAGCCTTGGTCAACAAGGGGTTGAAAGAAGTGTCGGGGGCGTTCCAGATATCCAACGGCAGGGGAAGCTGGATCATTTTGCCCAGTAAATACATGGACGAGCTGCGAAATCACCCCGACATGAGCCTTCGTGATGCGCTGCGAGAGGAGAATTTTCCCGATTACAGGGGATTTGATGGATTCCGCCAGGCATTTAAAGATTCAACCTTCACGCAGGAAGTGATTCGTGTCAAGGTGACGCAGAGTCTTGGATTAATTACGGCAAATCTCGCCAGCGAGTGTCAGCACGCCCTGCACGAAAGTCTAGGGGAGTCGAGGGAGTGGCAGCAGCGTTTCATCATTGAGGACATACTCAACATTGTCGCCCAGTTAACCTCGCGGGTATTCCTTGGGGAGCGACTCTGTCGAGACAAAGAATGGCTCCAGATTACCAAAGAGTATGCACGGAATTCCTTCATGGGTTCGGAACAGTTGCGCCAGTGCTTGCCACTTACTTGTCCCCTCATGCAATTTTTCATGCCTGCCTGCACACAGCTCCGCAAGTTCTCTGCGGCTGCTAGACGCTTAATTGACCCAGAAGTAAAAGCACGTAAACGCCGCGCCGAGGAAGTGATCAAGTTGGGCAAGAAGCCCCTAAAGGTCGAAGACACCATTGGATGGATGGTGGAGGTCGCTCGTGGTCGACAGGTGGACTATGTTGGAGGCCAGTTGGCTCTCTCACTTGCCGCTATACATAGCTCGACAGACAATCTCTCCAAAGCAGTCGTCAAGCTATGTGAGATGCCTGAGATCGTCGCCCCTCTTCGAGACGAGATAACGACAGTATTGGAGAGCACTGGCGGCTGGTCGAAGCTAGCGTTACATCGCATGAGGCTACTTGACAGTTTTCTAAAAGAGGTTCAACGTCTCGCCCCCTTCACAATCGGTAAGTAGAAACGCCATCGGTCGGGGAGGAGAAAATGGTGCAAATGGACACGAGACATGACTGAATCAGGCTGATTGATGGCAGTAGGCATGCACCGCCGTGTCATGAAAGGGCACGTGCTCAGCGATGGAACACAACTTCCAAAGAATAGTCGAATCATGGTCATGAACGATAAGCTTAGGGACAGCAGCGTGTACGAAGATCCTGATACCTTCAAATACGACCGCTTTGCCAGGCTCCGCGAACAGCCTGGCCAAGAAGACCAGCACCAGCTAGCCTCGACATCTAGCGACTTTGCAACATTTGGTCATGGCGAGCATGCATGCCCTGGACGCTTCTTCGCTGCCAATCAGCTTAAGATAACTACTGCGTGTCTCTTGCTCAAATACGACTTTCGTTTCCAACCAGGTCAGGCGGAGAGGGCACACGTTGTACCATTTGAGATGGTAGAAACAATAGACCCTACATTGAAGGTCGAAGTACGGCGTCGATCTGAAGAGCTGGATGTCACAAAGGTAGCGAAGGAGACCGGATAGACCTGACAGCAGGAAGGACGAGATAGACCTCTCAATGAATCATGTTCTCCTCGTACTCTGACAACGTCTCAATATGATGCTCGTGTGCCGAATTCTCTCTCAATTACAAGTTTTACGCCTATTCCAAGACCTGTTTCGCTCTCGTAGCCTAGCCATCAATGCGAAGCCTGATAGAAAGATTTGTTGTAGCTCCTAAATGCCGGCAATGTTGCGACACACCTTGAAATCGTCGATTGCCGGAACGATGGACATCATAACATTACCTGGTTTCTTAGGGAAAGGCAATAGCAGTCTCCAGGGCATCTAGGACATAGCTACACTTAGTCCGGACATTGCCTGCATCAAAGTGATGCAGAAGATGCCAATACATGATCCGGAGATCGCGGTGTCTTACTTTTGTGAGCTAGTAATATGTCTTCTTCTGTAATCGTCCACCAACCCAGGTGTACAAAGTGCTGGCCAAGATACCTGGTCCATTCTCTTGCTTACCCAGCATGCGAAACAGGCCGGGCCACAAGCATGGTATGTAATATATTGATACAGCTAGTAGAAAGATCTACGGAGGCAATGTCAAGATTGGCCTGAAATGCTTTGCACTAGTAACGCAGTAAATTGTCCGTTCTCTTGCTTACACGGCATGCGAAGAAGTCCAGGGTATGATCAAAGCATGTAGGATGTTACAGCGGGTAGTGGAAAGGTTTAGGTGGGCAATGTCAAGGTTGGGCCCTCGCCGATCGAGTGTTGTTCGACTTGCATGTAACATGTGCCACGATCTTTCCGGATCGCCTTCAACCCGGACGGCATTGGCATAGCAATTCACAAATAGAATACATTCCATTTGAAAACCCAAAGAGACGGCAGTTTGAACAGATTTTGGCACACGATCTAGGTGACGAAATTGATTTCCTGGCCTACTGACGGGGCTCATCGATATCACTACACGATAGAGTCTGTTTTCCATGAATGAAATGGCGATATCTATCACCCACGATGTCACAATAAGTGGCAGTCTTTTCTTCTACTCTTTTATATTGATCACTTTGGTCTGTCCCCTTAGGATTGTTTTCTACCGCCTATTCTGGAATCCCCTTGCGAAATTTCCTAGTCCGAGAATCGCTGCTGCCACGTATCTTTATGAGATCGCTTTTGATTACTTCGGGAACAGAGCATACCTTTTCGAGATCGAGCGCATGCACAACAGATACGGTACGTTGAATTGTATCATGAGAGTTCTCTTGCAGAGCGACGTTTGACCTCGACCGCGTTTGAAGGACCTATTGTTCCTGTGAATCCAACAGAACTCTCGATCAAGGATGGCGAGTTTTACGAGAAAGTCTACGTCAATGGAAATGTTAGACGTACTGAAGCTCTTCCGAGCTTCGGCGACGGAATGGACTTCAACAGTGAGTATCATCAGCATTCAAGCAAGCGCATGATTGCATATACTTAATCTACCCTCTACAGACAGCCACGGTATGACAGTAGATCACCATCAGCACAGACAGCGACGAAAGCCTTTGGAACCCTTCTTCTCCAAAGCCGGAGTCGCACGATTTGAGTTGGACCTTGCGTCTGTTGTCATGACTTTAGTAGATCGACTTCGTGGCTACGAAGGCACAGGGTGTGTGCTGCGACTTGATCATGCATTTGCTGCCCTTGCTGGAGACATCATCACCACTATGTGCATCGACAGTCCGAGCATGACCTTTTTGGGCGACAAGGATTTCAGTCGGGGTTGGTATGAGCTGTTTCATACGCTGATCATGTCTATGCCAGTTTTCATGAACTTTCCGTGGATCATCAGGTACGACATCCCCATAGGTTTGTGAAAGAAGGTACACTAAGATCTCCTAGGCTCATTCGACTCATTCCGACCTCGATACTGAGGCGCGTTGATCCCCGTAGTCAGATGTTTCGTGATTGGCGTGACGTGAGTCGCCACTTAGTGTGGGTGGTCAATGCGTGCAACGGGTCAGACAATGCAACACCACCACTAAAATGTCCGCCTATCAAAAATGAGGCTGTAGAGCACCATACAAAAGCTATTATCACGAGATTTTTTGGTGGAGTAGTCTAAATAGTTCAAAAAACAATCCTATCTACTCAAATTTCTTTGGCAGTTTGATGTTGCGGCCGCGCATCGTTATTTTGGTGGTGGGCTGCGCAGCCGACGATGCAGACGCACCACCACTTTGGCTGCCTGCATCACCACCACCCTTTGACTTTTTTGACTTTTAAGACGATGAAGCTTTTCGTTTAGGTATATTTTGCTTATCGCGAGCTTTTTTTGAAGTTGCAACTGCGCGATCGCGAGCTTTTTGGGTGCGTCTTAACTAGAGTTCTTTGGCCCTCACTTCTCTCTCTTTATCCCTCGCTATTTTCTTCAACTCCCGCGCAGTCCTTGCCTCGTCTATTAATTTTCTTCGTAGAGCTATACTAGCAGCTCGTTCCTGTTGTTTCTCTTTTTTTTAGAGTTTTTTAAGCTCTTCTTAGTGTTTTTTTTTGACGTTCTTGAGCTCTCGCATCTTCTATTGTCCTAGGACTCCACACCACCGCCAGAGTATGATACTGCTTGCTTTGCTAGAGCTCTAGAGGCTTCTTTTGCTTCTTTAGATGATTTTTGATAGCAAGTACTTCTCGTAGATTGGTGTTTTCGTGGTGCAAAATCTCGTTGTTGACCTAGAGTGAAGCAATAGTGTCTTTCACTGCAGAGACTATAACTTTAGCACAACCTGTTATAGTTTTGTCTAGAAAATTAGATAGCTCTTTTGTAGTATCCCCATTACCATACTCTCCAAGTTCTAGATTAATATCTTATTATAGTGTTGACTTTTTGAGATGTTTAAGCACGGCATTACCATCCTGCGGGTGGACGCCAGTAGCTCAAAAACAGCTTAGTATCTTGTCGGACGTGAACGCCCGTGTCCGCGCCGCCTAAAATAACCATAAAAAGTCACTTTTGTGCACCTCTACCAAGCCTTGACTGTAGTGGGACAAACTATTAAGTTCTTTGGTATACGCGCTCGAGAGGGGCTTAAACATGCCAACGTCGAGTGGCTAGAGTTGGTGAGATGAGTGGGGAGGGAGAGTAGCTAGGAGAATCCTGTTAGAGTCACAAAACTCTCAAAAACTTGGAGTCTGATGACTCCCATAACCGTCTAGGATTAGCAACCAATAATCGCGCTTTGCTTTGTCTTTCGTTTGGCGCTAAAACACCTACTTAAGCTAAGATAGCCCTAGGATATCGTTACTCTAGCCCGAGTCGCTAGTAGCAAAAAACATCTAGTGTTAGGAAGGATCTAGGTGCTCTACCTAGTTGTTTCGAAGTCTAGCTTTGCCCTCAAAGATTATCATAGGCGATATCCAGCTCCCGTCAGCACAAATACAGTCTAAAGTTGTTATCCACTCCCTGCTGCCGTCTCTAACAGCTACTCGAACTTTCTTTTCATCCCAAAGTCTCTTAGAGAACACCCTTTTAGTCCTTAAAGTGACACTAACGAGAAAGCCCTTTTCGTCTATATTATAGATATTTTGCGGCTGGATATCGTATTTCTCGATATAATCGTGAAGTAGACGGAAGTAATTATGGTAATCTTCAAAATCGTCAGCTTTTTTGCGGTTTTGGTCAATGCTGGCGGTGTTTCTACATAGTGATAATTTTCTCTCTGTTCCGCCAAAGAAATCTTGTAACCCAGCTGTTAGATGGCTGTCTTTTTGCAATATTGGCAACATATTTTTTAATTATCTCTTAGGACGGTGGAGTACTACGCTCAGAGAGTTTTTCTATGTGCTAGACAAGGTATTTCTCTTGTTGTGGTGAGAGTAGTCGTCGTGGGTGTGCAGCGGCTGCACGCGACCGCGTTTTGTTTTGGTAGCGACGCGTCAAAGTTAATGCCGCAACACTATATATTTTTGCAGCTGCACGGTACGAGATTTGTCCTTCTGGACCTTGCGAATTGATTGCCGCAAGCGCTTTTTCGATAGCTGTCATGGTGGTGGAGTTGTGGGGATTTGAAATTGGTGGGTTCTACTTTGGGAGATGCAGGGGGTGTTGCATTGTCTGACCCGTTGCACGCATTGACCACCCACACTATCATCGCTGTGGATTCCTTGGCTTAACATTGAACCTCTAGATGTCGGTGGCTGAGATCAAGAAATCACTCCAGCGAAAAGCTACCGGAGAGACGTTGACATACCAGAGGGGAACGATCAAGGCTCCGACATTGTTCGACCATCTCGTTAATAGTGATCTGCCCACTAGCGACATGTCCGTAGAGCGTCTTGCGTCGGAAGCCCAGGTCCTTATGGGTGCCGGGACTGTCACGACTGCTCAGAGCATGAGCCATCTAGTCGTCAACGTCCTCCTTCAGCCAGATGTAGAGAAGCGACTCCGCGGTGAGTTTGCTGTTCTCATGAAGCAGTTAGGCGAGGCTTCCATACCCCCAGCCCGAGAGCTGGAAAAACTGCCATATTTGCAGGCTTGTGTTAAAGAGGGACTACGGTATGCTCATTGCGCATCTGCAGCCGATCGAACATCGCATGCTTACAAAATTTAGACTCAGTCATGGATTAATGCATCGGCTGCCACGTGTCTCACCAGATGTGGCCCTCAAGTTCAAGGGCTGGACAATTCCACCTGGAGTACGTATATTGGCAAGTGATATATACGTCCAGACCGCAACGTACTGAGAACACTGCAGACACCTGTTGGAATGTCCGCGTATTTCATGCATATAGATGAAACAGTTTATGAGAAACCAAGGGAATTCTTACCTGAACGTTGGCTGGGTGATATCGACCCCAGAATGGAGAGGAACTATGTGCCTTTCTCGAGGGGATCTCGAAGGTGTCTCGCTCCCAAGTAGGTCACTTTCCACTTATATGTTTTGGTTCCTCACGACACTAATTCCGTGCAGTCTTGCGTATACTAAGATATCAATGGTTATGGCTGCACTGTTAAGTCCGTGGAGTCCAGAAATCAGACTTCACGATACAAATATGTCTGATGTGGACCCAGTGTGCGCATTCCTTCTCCCGCTTCCTCGGTTAGATAGTAAGGGTGTTAGAGTGGTAGTCACAACTAGTAAGGAGAAGCTTGTTACGAACCTAAGAAAGGGAACAGCACAAAGATAAAGAAAGAAGAAAGGAAGAAGCCCATGTCAAGGCCTCACGAAATAACAAGAGCATATAGACCAATGACGCATAAGCGCCCCGCGTCCTACGGTCTTGGCGGAACGCCACTATGAGACAAGTCACGTGTGTTCCACGGATCCTACAATGTCCCACGAAGTACCACGCATAGGACAACATGATATATGTAGGACAATATAGAACATAGAACATTCCTTTAGTATATAGCATAGGCATTAAGCCCTTATAGCTCAATGTGTTTAACTTAAGTTTTAAGTACAAGTACAATACAGAGAGTTATTCTACTTGCACGTTACTGTCCTCGTTTGCACCCTGTCACTCTATCTGCGAAAACCAACTAACAAGAAGATCAACACTAGAAGTCTTATATTACTTCCACTTGATCTATACTCTTAACACTTTGAACACCCTCAAGATAAGCGATATTGCAATAGACACCCTAACCGCTTCCTAGACTGGAGGAACTATCGTTAACGCCTACAAGCCTGACCTTTACTATAGCAACTGTAACAAGCTTAAAGCTTAGCTCCTCTAGGTTAACTGTTACTTCCACCTAGCTAAAGATAAAATTAAGAACAATGACAAGGTTATTTTGGCTACTACGTACCTTTAAGGTAACGCAGAAAAATAGGCTAATCTAATTATTAAACGCTACATGGATGACTCTATCACTAACGCTGACAACACTACCCTAGTTGAAGATTAGGATGCTTTTAAGACTAGGATGCGATAAAACTTCTTACCTTTTAAGGAATCCCTAATTGCTAAACAAAAAATTTAGACCCTACGCTAAACTAGGTCTGTAGCTAATTACACGACTTAGTTCTAGCAGTACGCTACAAACATTAAATAGGACAACAACGCTCTCATGCGCATGTATCGCTAGGGCCTTAAGCCAATAGTGCGTAGAGAACTTATAAGAAGTGGAGCTAACGTTACTAACCTTAATAAACTTATAGCAGAGGCTATATAATTTAACAACAAGCTTTACAAGCTTGTATTAGAAGAACGACTATTTAATTAGAGAACGCGCAACAACAATAACAAGAACAATTAGCCTTAACAATAATACTACTAACGTTCCTAGCCTAACTAGGGGCGACAAAGGAGCTATTAGCCTAGGACACCTAGTGCATATGTAACTAATGGGTATAAACCTATGCACCTTAACAATATTAACTACAGAAAGGGACCTAGCAAGCCTTACTACAAGAAAAACAAGGACGATAAGAAGAAAAAGATTAACTACTACGCATGTGGCAAGGAAGGCCACATAGCGCGCAACTGTATAAGCAAGAACAAGGTTAAGCGACAGCTTAACGTCCTACGTAGGAAGTTGGAGTTAGACGACGATAAATTATAGAACGTTATCACCCAACTAGAGATCAAATATCACCTAGACGACACGGAAGTTATTAGTAGATTAGAGGACCTAACCCTAACCACGTCTAAGGACATATCTAAAGCTAAACTAGTTAGCGACGAGGAATACGAGACGCTAGATAAGGAGGAACGACCCCTCGCGTCCAAGTACGAAAAGATAGCACGATTTTAGGACAAAAATAGGCCATCCACGCCCTACGTAAAGAGGCAAGATAGCGCGATACTACAGTGCCCGTGCACCAGATGAGCACCATCGCCAGTTGAGCACCCCCAACAACTCAATATAGTCAACAAGATGAGGCTGTAGAGCCACCACAAATCGTAATAAAATTGCGCAAAGCTAGGATTATACTATATACAGGCCTACGAAGGTTTTGGCTTATTCAGAAATTTTTTT